TTTTTTTTTTTTTTAAGGGAAGCAACCCCCCCTGTCATCTCACCTACTCCTCTCTTAGCAAGGAATGACTGCCATGACCACCCCCATCTAGAACCACCATTCACTGCCAGCACCTCTGCTCTCCTTGTGTGCTTAGAGAACAACTGATTAGCACTTTGCATAATTAACCTGATTAGCACTGTGCATAATCAAACTGATTAGCACTTTGCATAATTAAAAAGAAATAATAATAATAACAATAATAAGCAGTAGGTAATAGCAAAAGCTGCTAGTCCTGACGCTTGTTCGTTAGCTCTAGGATCAGTTTAGAGCAGCATAATTTATTTCTTAAAACTATTTTTTTAAAGATGCACAAACTCCTGAGAAAGACAAGTTACAATATTCTCATTTATTTTCAGTTCACCAACAAAAGTATTGGTTGTTCCACGATTACACCTTAGATTTCTTCTGCTGTAGCTGAAGACACTTATCAGGAAGATATCTGACTAGAAGCACCAGATCCAATTCAGTATGTTACTTCCAGTGTAGTTTAAGTACTGATTTTGGATTTGCTATACAGACATGGAATGTAGACACTTCACATCCTTTTATATATAAAAATATATATCCTTTCAATATATGTCTAAAATAGGAAAGAAGTATTATCTTCATGGACGAGGTGGGGAAAGATATTAATGCATCATCCCTCAAAWGTGTTTGGCCATTGCAGTGTCTGCCTGTCCTGAGGAATTACCCCAGGCCACAGGAAGTCTGATGAGGAACAAGGAATTAATCAGACTCCTGCTCCTGGGCCTGAATCATTCCTACTCCATGTGAACATCATTCACCTGATTCTGGTCTGCCTGCGTGTTTGACATCCTACTTAAAGACACACATTTGGGAGAGCAAAGTTCTTTCCCTGGCTGTGAACATTTTTTTCAGCTCCACTGCAAATCCCCCAAATAGGATTTCAGGCTTAAAAAAACAAACAAACAAACAAACAAAAAAAAAACACCTCCTGGAACCTAAAGGACTACAAAGTTATGCCTAGCTAGGTTGCAACCTGTTTTCAACTATCAACTTCAATCTTTAAATCATTAGAGACTCAGCTCTCATAGGACATTTGGCAGCAGATGGCCTAGAAGGGCCCTAGCTGAGCAGGCAAACCACARTCTTTTTCTGTTTAATAGTGCTGCTTCATCCCTGCCACCCACCATAATACTCCAACATTGCCTGCGTTTCTCCTCATTTTATTAACCTTCATCTTTCTTTCTGGCATCCTCATACTCTACCTTCGGCTCTCCTTGTCCTCCCCACATGCCCTACAGAGGAAGCCTCACCATCCATCACCTACAACACCCTCAGAAATAGATGCAACATCCCCCGGGAACCCTCCAGCAGCTCCATACAGCGACCTTGCCTACCTTTCCCACCGGGAAGCACGCACAGGGCACAGCTTCCCTGCTGCCTGCTCAGGCAGATGTTGGGCGAGCAGGAGGTCACCTTGTCCTGAGTGCCCTGTCCATCTGGCACCTGAAGGGAACGGGCTGCCTCTGGGCTGCGCACAGGCCAGACAGGACCCGCTCCATGGGCCTGCCCTAGAACGGGGTTAAAACCATCCCCCCTGCGCTACAGCTGCTCTCGTGAATGTTCTCCCATAAAATCTACCAATGAAAAGCTCTGGAGGGAGACACCAATAAGCAAGAATCTTAGCCAAATCACATGGAAATCTAATGCCCAGGCGAAGAGCCTCTCCACCACCGCGAGCCGTATGAACAGCAAAGGGTGCAGAGCCAGTCACTCGTTTCACGAGTTGTTTAGTTTCAGAAGAAAAGTGTTGCTGTAGAGATTATTCAAATCCAAATGTTCCTGGGGAAGGTAGTTCCAGTAATTCTGGGAAGGGAGCCAATCCCTTGGCTTTATATGTAAATATTTAAACAACATTATTTTTATATACATATCTTTTATACACATATACATATATGTCTTTAGAGTTCCAGACTCACAAAACTGCCATGAAAAAAAATATGCCTGTCAAAGTAGAACTATTGACACACCTGCCTCAGCCAAGATAACCAAACAACAGAAACAAAATATAATAATGACTCCTTAACAGCTGCACAAGGTCACCTATGTTTATTAATTCACCCAAACAGAAAAGTTGCTCGACCAGGAATACAGTCTCTAGGATAGAGAAATTATAAAGAATATTAAAAGAGGATCTTAATATTAATTAATGACCTCAAAAGTAACAAGAATATAGGTTTTTTATCAATTTTAAATCTTTCAGAGTGTGAATACATGCAGTAGCCCATTCACAAGTTTGGATTCACCAGGTTTTGATGGCATAAAGCTTCACATTTTTGGCATTTTAGTGCTCTGATATCTAGCAGTTAAAGCTTCTTTATGCTTARAAAGGTCACTGCTGTTTTAGGACTGAATCTGGTCTATACCTCAAAAAGGGATTACTTGATAGAAAATTCCAGGGGAAAAAAAAAAAAAAAGGCATTCTGGCATTGAGATTTCATGAATAAATAAAATGCAAAAAATGCTTTAAGATTGTTTGGGAGGAGCAGCTAAAACAAAYAGAGAGAGATGATTTAGTGAGCAGAATGTATCCAGTCGCAGTGTATGATGAATAAATTACTCCACGAAAATAAAATTTATCATGTGTTACACACTTATATACTCAGTAAGCAAAAACACACCTTAATATGAAGTACATGTGTGTGAATTCAGAGCTATATGCATAAAGAAATCATAAACAATATTTATGAATACAATATTTACATGTCTGTTCAAGTATGTATATATAAAACAGCCAACGTGAGTTTTACAAAAGATGACAACAGTGTACATACATATACATAGAAAAAGACACAAAAGGAAGGACCAAGAGTAGGGCAAGTCTTTTAGAAAATATTTAATGGCTTTATTAAAAAAAAAAAAAAAAAAGAAAAGAAAAAAAGAAAAAACCGTCACCCAAAGTTTGAGGGATTTTTGCAATCTTACGTTTTCTATTGCAAAATACACCTGCTTTCTTTTCTTTCTTCCCCCCCCAAACTAAATATTTCTTCCATCTAATGACTCTCTTTATTAGACAGCATCTAATTTGCATACATTTACATACAATTTAACTGCTAGCTTGTGAGAACAAAGAAATGGCTCTGTATTGTACTGAAGGACAATACTCAGAAAAGGAAGGTATAAAAACCAGCTAGCTCGGTGGCTGTATATTCTCTTTGTTTCAGAAATACCAGGATTTTTAAACACACCACTTAAAGGGTGAAAAAGATTATTTCATCAAACAATGAAAAAAAGATACAGTGCAGTTCCCTTTTAACACATTCTCTCTCTGGCCTGGTTAATGGGATTTAAGGGTCCCAGATTTCTTTGCTTTCTTCTATTTCCTTTATTAGAACTGATGGATTTAATTCCGCCACATATTTTACTTCATATTTTATTCCTATAACAATCTATGCTGAAGTTCAGCTCCGATGCTAATTCAATACTATCTTCCTTTCCTTACTGTCAGCCTGGAATACGACTGAATGATCTTTGATGGACACGAAGCGCTCTGCCCTCAATGCCCAGTGCTAATGGGTTTTAGAGAGAGTCTGCCAGAATATTACCTCGTGGCAACAAGTACAGAGWTCATGAAAACTTACCATGTAGCTGACTGGGAATCAACAGGAAGGGAAGCCGGGCTGAGCTCCTCCTGTGAGAGCAGGGAAGGACTGTGGTCAGAGTAAATGCAGGATGTAAAGGATGTGTCAAGCCCTCTAATTCCCTAAAAGAGGAGGAGAAAAGGATCTTGAACATCTCAGAAGCAGCAAAATCTTTCAAAACAGTTGGCTTTTAAAAGAGACCCCCATACAGGCCCAATTGAAAGCACAATACACCCGCAAGGAGTTCTTTCCCCAAAAAGCTTTACTAAAAAACAAAAAACAAAAACAAAAAAAAAACCCAAACCCCCACCACCAACAACAAAACAACAACAAAAGGTGTTTTGAGGCTGCATATTGCATGTCCTCGTGCATCCTCAAATGTGCCCATGTCCATGGGAAAGCCAGCTAAGCAGGGCGGCCTGCCATTCGTCACTGCCCAGGTACTGGAGCTATTAGCCTCATTTCTTACAATTCCCCTTCCCAACCTCATACTCAGTGGCTTGGACTCAGTGGGACAGATCAAGGAAAAATACTTTTTCAAAAGTCTCAATAGAGAAGTGCAGGAATGGAGAGGAAGAAGAATCAAACATTCATAACTACACTTTTTTTTTTCTACAGGAAATATATCAGCAGGGATGTATGTCGAGTCTGTTAGGCAGCTATGGAATCTCACCTTGAGATGTCTTGACCAGCCTTGATGTGACATGGGAGGATTGCTATCACACGCCTGGAAACCAAACCAATCATGGTTTTATGGATACAAAAGGAATGTACACTAGTACATTCCTCTCACACTAGTCAAAATTAAACTGAAGGGCCCTGCAGGTCAAACAGGACACAGTCTGCTTTGGATGAAAAAGGGCTCAACTTCACGGCATACTTCCACAACCCGCTCCAGGGGCAGGTTCCAGTGGGCAGGCTGACAAAGCCTCAAGTGACGGACACTGCGGCAACGCTTCCCAGAGGCCATGGAAAAGATCCCACATTCAGAAGGAAAGGACTGAGCTTTCTTGCCAAAGGCACACAATAAGGCACATGATTAACGAATGCTGTTACCAGGGCATCCAAAAGCTCCCTTAAATCCCTCAAGGACTCGCGAAAACAAATTTTCAAATCAAGAACAGGAATCTTTCTTTCGCACCTTTATAGATACACTATTTCATTTGCCTATTTTTTATAGCACATAAGCATAAATTTCTGCCTGACTCAAGTTCACCACCACCACCTCTAAAGTCACCCTACCCTAACAGCTGTACAGGAAGCAGTGGGATMTAGCAGAATACTGAAGACACAGCAGTCCAAGTCTCTTCCCTTAGCCTGCTTGCACCAGGTAGCTGAATGGGAACACTTAACTTCCTACCTGACAGGAATCCCATGGCAGTAAATAATCACTCAACTCCATTATCTGCAATTGCTTCAGGAGAAAGGAGACACTTGTGAACAACTTCCACTAGCCAGATCACACCCATAGATGATTCAGCATCTCTGGAAATGCCAGTCACGGACAGAACTAAAAGAACCAGTGTGGACACCTGATCTTCATCCATTTTCATCAGATAACAGCCAATACCAGTCATTTCAGTCTGCAGTCAGACTTTTTCTATCCAAGTCACAACCAGGCCCCAAAACAGAATATCTTACCAGATATAAACACAGGTGKCTTATTTCCTTTGATGGCAATAAAATAATACCTACATATGTRGCATTACATGAGAGCATATGTGATGCTGAAGCAATGGCACCCAACATGGCTAATTGTTTTCACTGCAGTCTTATRTACTCTCTGAGGATGGCTACAGTTACTATATCAATCATGGGCAACTACATAGGTTATTACACAATTCTTTACACATTTGAGTTATGTGACCCTCATACAATTGTTCAGCTGGTTTCCCAACAGGAGGTTCCTGTTTCTCTTCCACTGCCTATAAGATGCTTCTTTGATAACATAGCACAACCCAGTCATGCGTCTATTCTTGCCCTAGAATATTTCTTCCAATAAAATTCTTCCAATAAAATTCTTTTCCAAAATTCTTTTCTTCCAATAAAATTCTTCCAATAAAATTAATGTCCACTGGAAGACCTACATACACACATATACTTGAGCATGTCAATACGTACAAGATGTTTTAGTAAATACCTGCTCTTAATATCTAATTACTACCATATCATTGGCACATCATCAAAAATATTTAATTACATTTGTTAGATTTTCTCAAGGTTACAGCAGTACCTAAATCCATTTTAATGGTCATTAAAAAAAATGAGAATCTAAGAATTTTAAATAATGTCAATTCTTCAAGATATTTTAATTCCAGTGTTCTTGGTAGACTTAAAAGCATAATACCACAACATTAGCCTCAAATTTTATCTTTGCTTTAACGGTCCTTTTTGGAGCTAAAAGTAGGCTAAGCAAATCATTTGTTAGATTCTTCCTTTTCTTCTTTTCTGTTGATATATTCTCCATTGAAGCTGGGTTATGGAAGTGTAAAGTTAGTGCAAGCAGAAGAGCTGAGCAAAAAGTAGCCCCCCTTGTATCTAATTAAATTCTGGCATTTATGAACTTCCACTTTTTCACACATACCAGTTTCATTACATGTGCTATTAGACATTATRGGTGGGATTGTCAAAAGGAATAGCAGTGCGATTCTCTTTTGACTAAAAACCGGACTGTGGTAGTTCTGCTGTTGAATCTAACAGCAGCCCATTCAGACCAACCTGAAATGGATTTGGAAACTGCCTCCCTTTCCACTCTGTCTAGAACGTGAGGAGAAACAGAGGTACAGAGAGCAACAGAGAGGTCCAGGCTGCACCTTGAGCAGTTCTGTCAAGTTAAAGACACTACGAATTCCCCATCAAACACAAAGAGTATTCCTGAAGGAGACTTTAACTCCTGTTAAAGTCTTTCAAACATTCCCTCCGATTCGATACACCATCTTCAACGCGGTTCTCCCTCAGCAGCGTTGTAAGGCCTGCTAGCTAGGGCACAAACAGGGCATTTTCACACCTGGGCCTGGTAAAATCTCCCCAGCCGTGTCGCCAGAACACGCTCCGCACGCAGGCCCGCGCGCTCCCGCCTAGCAGAGTCAGCAGGAGCGCRCGCAGGCCCGTCAGGAACGGGGTGSGCCGCGCGCAGCAGAGCTGAGCTCGAGCCTCCCCGCTCCCATTAGCTCGCTGCACTAACCATAACCAAAAGTCTAGCAAATTTCCAGATTTGGATGGCCTTCAGGTCAAATTTAGCTACATATAAGTAGATACTCCCCCCTCCCCGGCTTCAAATCGCAGGGTAATTTTAATTAGGACACCTTGTTCGACAAACCACTGTTCTATTTAATGGACTTTTCTCAATTAAGAAGAGAAAGGCACCTCCCCCAAGCTTCCAAAATAAAATTAAGGGAGAGATTATGCGAATAAATACAAAAAGAAAAAAATTATTTGTGCTGCACTAGACTTTTTTTTTCCCCCCCTCTTCCTGTTAATCTTTATTTGGCAACTTCTGCATTAAAAGGCCAGAGTTTAGATTTCCACATGAATTAAACACCTGCTTAAAAACCACTCAATGGCTGATGCTGGCCAAATGCATCCCAGTTAAGCAGAGATGTTGGCACTGCTGTCCTGGCTGAGCAACACCCTTTGCCATTCCCTCTCATTAGGTTAAACAGGTTGCTCAGGATGTAACCAAATTCTTGATTACAYGCATCCCGCAATAAAATATAATTTGGTGGGGCCTTCTGCCTAATTGCCAAGCACTGAGCCTTGGGAGAAGTGCCTGGAGCTGCAGGAAGGGCCCAGGAACAAGGGCACCAACTCAGGCTCATGGAAGTGCTCAGCTGACAAAATTGAAAGAACYGTGTGGGATTTCTTCTCAAAAATATTCTACAAGATTAAAGAACAGATCTCCTTTTCCACAGCACTTTGCCCTCTGTATTTGGTATTAGTTTGTCCTACACAGTTTGATTTGTCAGTTGTACGCATGACATAGTATCTTTTATATTTGCTATAGCGTTAAATTGTTCACTGATAATTTGACTTTGTACGTGTACAGATTCAGCAATGGAGTGACAAGCCCAGAAAACAGAATCATCTTTCAGAGATCAGACACAGCACTGCAAGTTTTCCAAATATATTTTGTCAACATATTTTAAGGCACTTCCAGAGGGACCGACTGCATGACTGACAGAAAAATCTTGTCTCCATCATCCATCTAACCTCTAAGGCCTCTGTCAAGGCTGCAGACACATTTGCCAATAAGTGACAAGTCAAGCGGTCCTTTTGCAAACACCCAACAACTCCTTTCAGGATGGTGCTACGAGGAAGCCACTACACAGAACTGGAGCAGAGTGACAGGGATTATAAACTATGTTGGAAATGGTTCTAATCTCCATGTTCAATCCTCTATAATCCCACTTCACTATCCATTTATTAACCTCCCTCGTTTTCCTTTCCATCACCCTCCTGTCCTAGTCAGGAACAGACCTTAGTTTCAGAAGCATTCTACTCAAGATGGACAAAAAGCTCGCGAACTTCATGTAATACGGATCAGTTACCTGTATCCAAGTAAAGAACAGGTACAGAGTCTCTAAACAGGTATCTTAAAATCAAATGCATAGAAGGATAGTTCRCCACTATAAACAGAATATAATTCACAACTCACACAGTGAGGATGTTAGCAGGCTTTAAAATATTTATGCATAAAACTTCACTTATGCCAAAAAAGACTTTATAAGAACATAAATACTGTTAGATTCTAGTACTTTTTGTAGGTTAGAATTCATAATTACTTAACTTTCATATTTCTAAAGTAATCTTTAAGTACAAGAAGAAAATACGGAATATGTCACCCAGCAGTAATTATTGACCTTAAACTAGCATTACTGCCAAGACAACCATAATATTGGCAGATGCTTTCTTGTCCTGACTGGTTACAAATGGCACCAAGGAATCCAAGGATAGACACCATCATACTTGCTCTTTGCTTGTTTTTCATTAAAACATTCTTGCATACAAACAACACTTTCTGATTTGCTATTGCCCTTTATATRCACTTGCACTCTCAAGAACACTCCATTGCCCTTATTCCTTATTCCCTTTTTCCTACCAAAGTCAACAAAGATCCTGGGTA